AAAAATTAAACGGCTATTGAAACGCATAGCATGCCAAGGCTCACGTCGGCACAACGTCATGAGGCCATTGGGATGGTCCGTGGGGGGAATGTCTCAACGACAAGTGGCTGCACATTTCCACTGCCACCGGAACACCATTTCTGCACTGGTGAGACGCTACCAGAACACAAATGACGTCATCGATCGGCCACGTTCTGGACGTCCACGTATAACAACGCCAAGACAGGACAGATGCATAAGGGTGACCCATCTTCGCCACAGGTTTCAGACTGCAGTGATGACTGCCCGAACCATCCCAGGACTTCACCCCAACACAGTTCGACAACGTTTACGTCATCACGGGATCAGACCACGACGTCCCGCCATACGGCCTATCTTGACACAACGTCATCGACAAGCTCGACGAATGTGGTGCCGAAATCATGCCCGCAGACCCTTGTTTTGGTGAAGAAATGTTGTTTTTACAGATGAGTCCAGGTTTAACATTTCCCATAGCGATGGACGTCAACGTGCCTATAGACGCGTGGGAGAACGTTATGCACATGCCTGTGTCTTTGAGAGGAATCGCTTTGGTGGTGGTTCCGTGAGGATTTGGGGTGGACTAACAGCACGCCAAAGAACTCCATTGGTGATTGTTCAGGGCAACTTAACTGGTGTGGGCTACAGGGATCAGATTCTTCGACCTGTGGCAATTCCTTTTCTGCAACGTCATGGCCCTGGATTAACATTCCAACAGGACAATGCCCACCCTCATACGGCAAGGGTTGCTATGGATTTCTTGCAACACCACAACGTTGACTTACTGCCTCGGCCTGCGAATTCACCGGATCTCTCCCCGATAGAGCATGTTTATTTGGGACGAGATGGGTCGACGTCTACGCCGTCTTCCTCATCCGCCAGATAACGTCCTTGACCTTGCAACAGAACTTGAGAGAATCTGACGTGACATCCCACAAGCCTTCCTTGCACGTTTGATAGGCTCTATGCGTCGTCGATGTACTTCTGTTCTCCATGCCGATGGTGGACATACCCGTTATTGAGCTTGTGACATGGTCGTTTGACCCCTGTCCCGCTTGTGGACTCGTGACGTCATTGTGATTGACTTTTCAATTGAAATTCTCCCGACTTGTTATGGTCTCATGATCCCTCCATTAAAGTTTATATGTACCTTTGACATTGTTATCGTACTTATCAACTGGGATAATATTTTGACAATGCATGTTTCTTGATGTGGCTATATAGCATTCAGAGCTGTAATCGATGTGCGGAGCTTCACTGTTGTAAACCGAATCGCGAGTTCCGTTTTCAATCACCGAAGAACAAACGTGGGATTCTTTTGGTTTTATTTGAGTGATTAATGACATAATCTATTGAAATTATCTATGTATAATGTGATACCACCGCTGGGAGTGATGGTTTATACTAAAGTTACACATTAAATATACTGGGTACAAAGTAGTTATGGAATCATGTCCAGTTGTAAAAAATATATTCAGTTGATAAGGCTGGCCCAACGTCAGAATACTATGGATGGGTAACACGTTTATTTCTAGTTATTTTTTGGAAAGGAAACATATCTCCGAAAATGATGAATTGATTCGTTTTGGGAAATTATACACTGTTAAGAGTATAGCCTTTGAAAATAACATGCTGGAATGTAATACGAACAATAATCCAACAACCATTCAGATGATCAAAATTTAGTGATACTTTAACGGAATGTAATAGCGGCAATAACGGCCTGAATGAACTCTGTTTGAACCCCTACAGCTTGCCAATGATAGCATAAATTCTATCCTGTGTATCCAAGATAAAATGAATATGGTGCAACTATGTTTGGCAACCTTCACAACAATATACGTAATGTTTTCTGTTGGAAGCCTAATAACACTGAATCTCAACTAACTGGGTTGGCACGTGTCCACAATGTTTTTAAAACATGATGATAATGTTCATTAAATATGCGCTGGCATCACATTTTTGCAATATGCTGAAAAATTTCAATAACATGTTGAGGAATAGTTTCACACATGTTATAACATTTCAATAACATTTTCAGTAGTTGTGAGACATTTACACCTTATTTGTATGATTTGGCATATGTGTCCGCAATATTTTTCAAACATGATGACAATATTTCATTTAATATATTCTTACATAACCAAAAAATCAAACATAATTAAAACACAATTGTCACATGTTCATGAAATATAACATACATCGCTGATTATGAAAAAACATATAAACGAAATTATAAGCGTACAATCGCAAATCAAAAATGCAATATTTTGTACTTGGGTTTATTTCCCTAGAAACGAAGCAACCGCGATACCGAATCCAGTCAGAGCGGGTGGGTGTGCACTCAAGTGTAACGGCTGGTTCATTTGCAGTGGCCCGCACGGCTCATTGTGTGTGTATATATAGAGATGTTGGGTTTTGTAAATACATGCTCATCTTTTGTGTATAACATTTTGCAATCAACAGACATCATAACATGTCATGTGTACAAGTATCACACCTGCCTGTCTGTGTAATTACATACTGTGACAGAGACCGAACTCGGGCCATAAATCAATGCGTTTTGTTTATGGTGTATAGCCTGATAGGTGTTAAGTTCAAATTGCATGTTGTCAGTGATCGAAGTTGTGTATTGAATATTGTCATTAGCAGACAGGCAGGCAGACACATAGGTGTCAATAAAACAGACATTGAGTCTGTAACAACAGCATATCAATATCACAGTTAGAAATTCTGTCAACGCTAAATAATGACATTGCTTTGAAGTATCGAACTGAGAAAGTGACTCGGTAAGAAGAACGTGTGGTGAAATAGACAAATGAAATTATATAAACAGTTAAATCGGTAATCTACTGTCATATCATATAAAAAGCTCGCGCGTGTGAAATATCAACAAAACATTAGAAAAATAGCTCACACCAAAGCCTTCACCGGACAACCCGCTTACAAGCTGCGCGAACCTATTTCACTGCCCATGTGCTATGAGCGCAGCCCAGCTGTTGAAACCACTTAGTGGATCGTTTGAACTCCGATTTCGCGCGATTTTTGCATTTTTGGTGATTTGTTTCGGTAAGTCCATACCGAAAGGTATCAGAATCTGCAAAGTTGTGTTTTACGTTGCAGGTGACATATAACATAACAGGGTGACTCCAACCATTTCCTCTTACACTACTCTCTGAAGATTCAGGGAATCTCGTATGGTAATAGTAGTCTGCCCCCAGCCCTAGGTAATACAAGGTTGGTTGGTTAGTTGCTGTTTATCTCCGCACTCAGCAATATCCCCGCTATATGGTGATAAACATCGAGTCTGAGCATCGATCAACATACGCAGTTATGATAGGTCATACAAACAGTGAATATAGAAAAGGAATGGGAAAGCGGAAGCATTAGGGAGAAATATGTGTGGATGAAGGTGCTAACGAAACCTTCTTGGACAAGCTTGAGCATGTGAGTGAGTGAGTTCACTAGTTGACAAACAAAACTCGACAAGATAAGAGTGAGTGAGTGAATTGAGTTTTACGCCGCACTCAGCAATAATCCAGCTATATGGCGGCGGTCTGTAAATGATCGACAATCCAGTGATCAACAGCATAAGCAACGATCTACGCAATAGGGATACGATGACATGTGTCAACCAAGTCAGCGAGCCTGACCATCCGATCCCGTCAGTCGCCTCTTGCGGCAAGCATGGGTTACTGAAGATCAATATTCTAACCCGATCTTCACCGGTAGCTTCAGCATGTATTGGCAGAACAATTCCAGTATATCTTGGCCAATACTAATCTTAATACAGCAGTATCTTGTGTTGTCAGTTATCAACACGCTGCGGAACACACCAAATTATGGAATCCTGGAAGGGACATTGTCGCGTTGTCGCCCTCTCAAAAGCAAGCAAAATGAGGCAAAATATACCAAACCGCGACAGTGCGACAACGCGACATTTCGGCCATTTATCGCATTGTCGCATGTCGCGTTTTGAATAATATTTTTCTATTCCTCCAAAGGGCGACAATGCGACATAGCGACAATTTTCAAGGTCAAAATATGTCGCGTTGTCGCATTGTCGCGGTTTGGTTAATTTTACCTCATTTTGCTTGTTTTTGAGAGGGCGACAACGCGACAATGTCCCTTTCAGGATTCCATACCAAATAGCCTTATCGTCTAAAGCCTTATAATTCAGGAGAAGTCCACAGTCTTCCAGGTGCGATGGCGAAATGGAATTAATTAAACGACAAATATATCCGCCTTGCACAAGCGGTATCTGTACATATATCACGGTTAGCTAGTAGTACTATTTTTACAGCGTCCGCTAGTCACGCCGAAGACCCGAGTTCGATTCCCCAAATGAGTAGAATGTGTGAAGTCTGGTGTCCCCGCCGTGATATTGCGGGAATATTGTTAAAAGCAGCCTTAAACCATACTCACTCACTCACTCCACTTTGTATATCCTACTTATATACTAGTACACAAATATATTTTATGAGTGATTCTTTGACTTATACGCACATGCAGGCGTTAATCAATCTGCACCAGCTTTTATTCTTTGCATGTACATTCCAGTAAGCTGGTACGGTATGATGGCCTGTCTCAACCAAAATGCCCTTGGATTCAGGTGGTGCTTATTAATGATCATGTGTATACATCTCGTGTTAGCACAATGGTGATCGACAGGGCAAACAGTCATCCTGTGGGTGACTGAACTGTGGGGAAGTCTAGTGATTAAAGTGTTCGCTTGTCACGCCGAAGACCTGGGTTCGATTTCCCACATGGGTACAATGTGTGAAGAGACCATTTCTGGTGTCCCCGTCGTGATATTGCTGGAATATTGCTAAGAGCGGCGTAAAACGTAACTCACTCACTCACTCACTAATCCCAACTCAGTCATGATCGAGTCTATCATGTTTCTCCTTAAGGAAAATATAAACGTCAGCAATATCGTCTTATGACGTTTGTAAATCTCTAATAAGAACAAACAGAATTAGTTTAAATTGCAGATTTATTTATTTTACATATTTAGATATTTTTCCATTGCTTGGTTTGCGGATTTCGAGAAAAATTGTGCATGAAATTTTAAATATAAATCTGTTACTTTCAGTGATCCATTTACATTACGGTGGAGAAATATGAAACCAGTACAGAGATACATAAAATGTTGAGCGGATGATAAATCAAAGAGTTACTTCCCTTATAAAAAGGCCTTGAGGTGGCGGGAATTACAAAAGGTATTCTGTAGTGAAGACAACAGCCAAAAAATAAAAACCCGCTAAATTTAATTGTATCAAATTTTGTGAAATTGTGAACGATGGATTTGTAAACCAAGAAATTATGAAAAAAAATCAGCATGGTCAGTATGTTAAACGTGCGTTACAGATGTGGGGGCACTTTCATGAGAGGTGGGGGAGTTCGCATTCTGTGTGCGATCTGTGGGGCTCGACTCTGGTGCAGGTGGGGCATTCACTTCATGAAGCGGAGGTGGGACTCTCACTCTGTGCGTTCGGTGGAGGGCCCTGGCTCTACCTTCTCCAGCGCAGGTGGCGCTCTCACGTCATGGCGCGGAAGCGGGGGAGGCGTGCGAATCACGTGAGTCTCGTGAAGAGGGGGAGGGGTCGGGAAGATCATTGCGGGGGGCAAGTTTTCGTCGTCACTCTCGGGTTCATCGGAGCTGTGGGAAAGTGGGGGTGGGGCGTTTTGGGGGTGGAGCTGATTGCTCATGTACTGGTACAGCATAAACTCATCAAGCCAGAAGGATTTCACAGAGTTGCACAGCTTGTCAACAGCGGGGCCCACGGACTGACGGAAGTGTATCTTGTCCCGTGGGGTCAGGAGAACAGTAGCGGTCTGTGGATTAAAAAGCATATCTTGATATTTGTTTGGCTACAACTGAAACCTTTAGCTCTCCGAACTCTGCCAAAGATATATGTCAGCCAATACTGTTTAAAATTATAAACCGTGATCTGCATTATCTTTCGGTGATAACGAACTATGTTCAGTCAGGGGCGGATACAGCTACTTGAGAAAGGGGATGTGCAAAGTTTTCACGAGTGTTTCAGGACAAAAGGACAAAAACAAACAAACACAAGAGGTGGGTGGGGGGGTGGAATCTGGATCCGACAATGTCTCAGTATTCTTTGAAGTGATCTGGCACCTGCGAAGCCGGAACTGCGAATTTGCCGGACGTACACTTGTACGTAATATACTTATTTAATACATCTTCCTGTATACATGTATTGTAATGCGACCGATTTACATATTCAGTTGGACGGTTACCTTGGAACGAAGCCTGAGAAGTAAACGCCAAAGTAAAGCTTATACACCGAAGAATGTTTCAGTAAACCTGTGAAGATCCGTGTTAGAATTGGTCTTCAGCAGCCCATGCTTGTCGTAGGGGCGGTGGGGGTAGCCTAGTGGTAAAGGCGTTCGCTCGTCACGCCAAAGACTCGGGTTCGATACCCCACATGGGCACAATGTGTGAAGCCCATTTCTGTTGTTCCCCGCCATGAATATTGCTAAAAGCGGCGTAGAAATATACTCACTCACTCACTCACTTCCATGCTTGTCGTAAGAGGCGACTAACGGGATCGGATGGTCAGGCTGCCTGACTTGGTGGGCAGATGTCATCGGTTCCCAATTGCGTAGATGGTGTTGATCACTGGATTGTCTGGTCCAGACTCGATTATTTACAGACCGCCGCCATATGGCTGGAATATTGCTGAGTGCGGCGTTAAACAAACAAACAAACAAATAAATAAACAAACCAACCTTTGTCCTGGTATAGAAGTGCCTCTGTTCTCGCGGTATAATGAGGGGTTTCATGTACTTGTAGATGAAACACGATTGAAGATCCGGGTCTTTCAGAGCAGTGATTCCGTCAGGACCCTGGAATTATTAGATTTCTCTTTTAAAACAAAATAATCAAGAAAACGAAGACAAGTATCTTATAGAATATTAATGTTACATAAATGTATATTCGTCACCACTGTTGTCATTCCGGAATCGTCTTGCAGAATACGTAAAGGGGGAGGGCCTGTTGACGTACCTGAATAGATAGTCCAGAAGCGAGAAACCATCTTTAAAAATATTCAGGCCCTGATTTTACTCAAATTTCAAACTGAGTTTGACAATTTAAAACAGCGGAATTTCTAACTCAACTGTATTTCCTATATCAAAAACCTCAAACAATTCAAGTAACCTACCTATAAACTTAAATTGTCTCCTACATCAATTTAAATTATTTTTGGGAAATGTGTTTTCTCAAATTTGAGTAAAAACTCAGACTTAAGTTTCTTTCAAGAAATCGGGGCCAGAATATCCAACGCGCGCAATGAACATTTATTTTGTCTAAAACAAATGTCCTTCCAGCATTTCCAGAGACTGATTTTTTTCAAAATCCAGCATTACTCCTAACTGGTGGTTAAGACACTTATATCATCAATAACTCGTTGAAGGTGGAAACAGATTAAGGGCATGCAATATGCAACAGATGTCCATGGAAACACACTGACAAAGTCGGCTGGTTTTAAAGACGTCTACGAAATGGAACCATGCTATAGACACTATATGCCTCGTCTAAAACAGGAGCGCTTTGGTCAGTTTAGATACAGAGTCACATAAATGAAGATTTAAACTGCACGATATGACAAAAGCCTGAAGTGAAATGCCTTAACTATCGAATAATTATGAATGCCGCGTTTAACTGCAACGTCCGCTGAATTCTAAGTAAACAACCCGTGAATTAGTGAATTGGTCTTCAGTAACCCGTGTTTGTCATAAGGGGTGACTCTAGGGGTCGGGTGGTCAGGCTCGCTGAATTGGTTGACACATGTCATCGTATCCAAGTTGCGTAGATCGATACTCATGCTGTTGATCATTGGATTGTCTGGACCAGACTAGATTATTTACAGACCGCCGCCATATAGCTGGAATATGGCTGAGTGCGGCGTAAAACTAAACTCACTCCCGGCCCTGGTTCAAGGAAATGCATAGCGTACGTACAGTGCTTTAGTGTCTGTACCACCACGGAATGGCATAGTTTAGTGTTGAGATATGAGTCAAACTGGAACATATTGTGTCACTGTTTATCTTCGTATTACAATATAGTATTTCCAGAACGTTAATCACCTGACAGGTTGTAGTGACCTGTTGTTCATGGACGTCACTAATTTCTCCGTTTGCAAGATAACGTCAGGCGACGAAGTCACTTGTGGAGGTGTAACTGACACCTACTCTGCCATTATCTTGCTTATGGGCTAAACCAACACAGAGCCTGAGAATGTGAGATAACCGACAGGTCACTGGATATCAGACTGTTATAAGAGACACGATGTGTCCCTGGCCCGTGCTGTGGCAACATAATAGACTAGAAAAGTTTAATGGAGATAGGATGGGGTCTGTTTTGAAATGTTATATAGTTGAAAATCTCGGCCCAGGTTCACAAAGCGATCCTAGTGACGACAGCTTCTTGGAGTATTGCAAACACCCTCACGGGTGTAAGGGGTAATTAATTACTTACGGTTACATAACCTACCCCTCACTACACATCCCATACCGTTCGGTATTGATCCACCACACCACACTCTTCTCTGCCCATAAAGTACGCCACAAATCACACACCCCCACAACCAGACATTCTCACCATACTCAACCCCAACCCTCGGAAAACCCCACTCCTACACAATCTCACCCTGACCCAACACTACTCCGACGAAATCCAACCCTCACCCACCCCATCCCTATACAACTCATTCAACGTCAACCCCACACAATCCCACCATCAAATTAACCTCTCTCATTCCCAATTCCACGCCTACACAACCTAAACCCTACACAATCCCACTTCTCACAACTCACCACACAATCCTTTTACTTCTCACACAACCTCACCCTACACAATCCTACTTCTCACACAACTCCCCCTACACAACTCCACTTACACAACCCTACTCTCACACAACTCTCCCCCTTCTACATACAATCCTACTTCTCACACAACCTCACCCCTACACAATCCTACTTCTACACAACCTCACACCCTCTACACAACCCACTCACACACAACCTCACCCATACACAACCCTACTCTCACACAACTCTCACTCCCTACACAATCCCACTTCTCACACAACTCTCAATCCTAACACAATCCTTAACACAACTCTTCACACAACTCACCCCCATACACAACTCCTACTTTCTACACAACCTCCCTCTACAATCCCACTTTCACACATCCCTCAACTCCTACACAATCCTACACTTCTCTACAACTCCTCACCTTCTACACAACCCCTACTTCACACAACTCTCACCTCTACACAATCCCACTATCACACAACCTCACCCCTACACAACTCCCACTTCTCCCACACAACCTCACCTCCCTACACAACCCCACTTCTCACACAACTCACCTCCTACACAACTCCTAATTCTTCACACAACCTCTCACCCCTACACAATCCTAATTTCACACAACTCACTCCTACACAATCCCCACTCTCACACAACTCTCACTCCCTACACAATCCCACTCTCACACAACTCACCCATACACAACCCCACTCTCACACAACTCAACCCTACACAATCCCACTCACACAACCTCAATCCCTACACACAATCCCACTTCACACAACCTCAACTCCTACACAATCCCACTTCACACAACCTCACTCTACACAACAACTCTCACAACCCCACCCTACACAACTCCTACACACAACCTACTCTCACACAACCTCAACCCTACACAATCCCACTCTCAAACAACCTCAACCCCTACACAATCCCACTCTCACACAACCTCACCCTACACAATCCCACTCTCACATAACTCCCCACACACAACCTCCTCACTCCCCACACTTCAATCCCATCTTCTCATTAATAACCCTCCCCTACACAACCCCACTCTCCACACAACCTCACCCCTACACAACCCCACTACTCACACAACCTCACTCCCCTACACAATCCCACTCTCACACAACCTCACCCCTACACAACCCCACTATCAACACAACCTCACCCCTACACAATCCCACTCTCACAACCTCACCCTACAATCCCTCACACCCTCACTCACCCCACTGGCCTCTCACCCCTACACAACCCCACTCTCACACAACTCACCCCTACACAACCCCCACTCTCACACAACCTCAACCCAACACAATCCCACTCTCACACAACCTCACCCCAACACAAATCCCACTCTCACACACACAACCTCACCCCTACACAATCCCACTCTCACATAACCTCACCCCTACACAATCCCACTCTCACACAACCTCAACCCTACACAATCCCACTCTCACACAACCTCACCCCTACACACAACTCCCACTCTCTCACACAACCTCACCCCTACACAATCCCACTCTCACACAACCTCACCCCTACACAATCCCACTCTCACACAACCTCACCCCATACACAACCCCACTCTCACACAACCTCACCCCTACACAATCCCACTCTCACACAACCTCAACCCTACACAATCCCACTCTCACACAACCTCACCCCTACACAATCCCACTCTCACACAACCTCACCCCTACACAACCCCACTCTCACACAACCTCACCCCTACACAATCCCACTCTCATACAACCTCACCCCTACACAATCCCACTCACACAACCTCACCCATACACAATCCCACTCTCACACAACCACACCCCTACACAATCCCACCCTCGCCCACAAAATCACAACAAATAACACAGCGTCATCACGACTCACCACATCCGGGTCGCTGACTTCATGGCTGATGTAGTTCCGGTCACCCTCGTCCAGTTGGATGTTGGGTAGCCTCGGTCTGGCCCACTGTGCTTGTGGAACTCGGAAACTCTGAAACAGTTACAATGAATCACAGAACTGTTTAGACAGAGGAACAAATTTGGCTCTGCGGGAATCACTCGAGCTAGAATCATTGTGCTGGGAACTCCTGTAAACCCGTGTGTTTGAATCACCTGTGCCAGATTCACTTGGGCTAGAATCCTCTATGCTGGTATCATTTGTATTAGAATCACCTGTACCCGCAACACCAGTGCCAGCGTTAAACAATAACATCTAAATTCTTCAGAAACAGAAACGCACATGTCACAAATAAGGAAATGTATTAAAAGTGTTTTAGTGTACATAAGTCGATTGAGCTTGAACATAGATGAAGGAAATTCGACAGACAGGTGAACATATGTTTTGTTGTCATTGTCAGCATTAATTCAGTTCACTCACTGCACATGTGTGGACACAAGGTGGCGTTCACGTCAGTACCCGGTGACACAACCCCTTGCAGCCCTCACTGCTTCACACCACCTTGGAAGAGATTGCACATGTTTTTGCATGGGGAATTCTTCACCATTCTTCTGCAAGTGTTTGAGGACGATGGTAACGTTTACGGACGCGTCGACCAAGTTCGTCCCATAGATGCTTGATCGGGTTCAGATCAGGCGATATTGGAAGGCCAGGGAAGGACATTGACGTTTGCATTGGCGATATAGGCACCTGTTACACGAGCTGTGTGGGGTCGAGCGTTGTCGTGTTGAAATTGCTCCCTCTGGTAGTTAATATGAGGGAGGAGGTGAGGTGGCAGGATTTGGTCGTTGTAGCGATTTGCTGTTTGATTGCCTTGAACCACCACTAGCTCAGATCAACCCATAGAGGACATGGCTCCCCACATCATAACACTACAGCAAATCTGTCCACCTGTCGCGCAGTTCGACGCAAAACGTTCGTGTCGAAGTCGATAGACACGTTGTCTCCCATCCCGTCGTTGCAGGAGGAAACGCGATTCATCACTGAACCAAACGCGTCGCCAGTTCCCCAGGTTCCATGCCTGTACCCTGTTGCACCATTGGACACGTCGTTGTCGGTGTAGTTGTGGCAGGATAGGTCCAACGTTTGGTCGATATGCCCGAAGTCCCACTTCTCTCAGACGATTTCTGATGGTTTGGTCGAAAATATTTCGGCCAGTAGCATTCATTCTGCATTTTCGATCTTCGTTTACGTCGTAAATTTCATAGTGAAATGGTGAATTTGGTTTGCCCTTTATAGTCGATGTCTCTACTCATGGTCCGACACATTGCGCGTGCATTACGTGGAAAACCTTTTCTGCATTTCATGTATCGTTTTCCAAATTTATGATAAACGTTTGCAAACACATTTTGGGCGCAATACACAACAACCACGGCATGCTGAACGTGATTCAAACATGGGAATTGTCTTAATGACCCCAACCCTCGTGATTCAAACATGGGAATTGTCTTAATGACCCCAACCCTCGTGATTCAAACATGGGAATTGTCTTAATGACCCCAACCCTCGTGATTCAAACATGGGAATTGTCTTAATGACAATTGCTGTCAATATATCGAAATGAACTGCTGGTAACGCCTGTGCGTTTCTTTGTTTAGGAGTGTCTAGGAACACCTGTGTTAGAATCAGCTGGATCACCAATGCTGGAAACAGGATGTACTGGATTCTGTGCCAGAATCAAATGTACTAGACCTGTCTATGCTGAAATCAACTGTACTAGTCTTACCTGTCCTAGGTTTATCTGTGTTAGATTCACATGTGCTAGAAACATTCTGTGACCACCTGTTCCCTCAGTTTAGATTGTATATGAAGCATGTAATATACCTAAGGTGTACCCTATTATACTGTATAATAAATTTACTTTGTGCAGTGTAAAACAAAACAAAACAAAACCCAAAAGGAGCAACAACAACAAAATATAAGTACTTGAATTTTCAAATTTAGAATTTAAACATTAGATCACTTAAAACCTTCAAAGAACAGGAACGGCGTTTCCATTACAATATGCGTGTTTCTAAAACACTATTATACCAATTTTAACGTTCCCAAAATCTCACTGGACTAAGAACAGCCTTAAGTTACAAAATAAAATCATGGTATCCTTATGAAATATATTGCCTTCGAATAAATATTTCATTTTCAGCCACCACCAAATATGGATGTATACTTTTCTTCTGGCTCGTTCCCTGACAAAATGACAAATAAGTGACGTCCGCCATGTCCAACTACATGTATATACATTGAGTGAAATGTGGATTCTAGATAATATATGCATAAATGATTGAAATCGTAAAACTAATACATCTTTCAACCCAAGGAATGACTTCACAGATGTGCTTCGCTTGAGACTACAAGACAAAAAAAATATCACTGAACAATATTGCATTTCAGAGAATACTTGATACTATCGGAGAAACGAACATATATATGAAAAGTATTTCACATTGTAGCTCGTAGTAGCAAGTTTGATTCAAGCATTTTTTGAAATCCATAAAATGAGGTTGACTATTCTCTAACGTTTTATGCTGATCCTTTAAGTCATACGCTATGCTACATGTTAACCCAACAATTACATAGGGACACTGGCCGTTTCACTCACGTCACCAATGGCACCAACTGCAACGGCAACTGCCAACACTACTACCACACGTAACCACGTACCCCCACATACGTCACCAGCAGGAACAGCGAAAACACACCACGCAGCATTACGGCCGTCGTATCTGCAAACTACACCGGTATTTCTCGTTCTGTCCCGCGAAGTCTCCTTTATACCCCCACCCTCATTAATTATGATCAACGTGGGTATGAAGTAACCAAACAGGGGTAGCCGTCCCTCCCACTCAGGGAGCTGCCACGTCAAAAGACGCGGACTCCATTTACAGTATATATTTTTGTAAACCCATTTAATTTTAAAAAAGTGTACTATTGATTTTCCTTCTAAAATGAAATAAATTACATCATATACTAGAAGTTTTAGAAGAAGTCTTTTAAATGTCGGGTCCGGGAGGTTCCGGGATAAAACCAGGGGATTAAATGGATCGTTGGTCAAGATCGAAGAATACGTGCCATCATACCCATAGCACTGAGGTGTTGTTCGTGGTATCAACCCCTCTTTGAAGACGCTGCCTTAATTATTTGCAATCGTTTCGGTGTCTCTGGTAGAACTCGATTGTTTACAGATCGCCGACATGTGTCTGGGGTGTTGCTGTACGGAATCAAGTATCATTAAATTGCTTTTGGGGAAGGGGGGGGGGGGACTGAATAGTGTGAGTGGCAGGTGTTACAATGCTTCCTTTTTTGAACACCTGGTGTCATACTGGTGTCGTGGTTTTCACCATCATTTTGCCCATTACGCTCATTAGAATGAAGACTGATTATTCTCTGGCCATACACATGGATCAATAACATATATAACTTGTATCTGCACCTTGAGTTTAGGTCATCAGTAATAATTGAGGAGTTAGTACCGAACCACTCACACACTCAGTGCACCTACGCACATCGACCGCGTCTTTTAATCAAACATACGAGCAAAGGCTGGATTAGTGTCAGATTCAGAGTATCCACTCAGAGATAAGAGCAACAACCAACTCGATAAGCACAATAGTAATTAAAGCTTTCTAAAAAAGGGTTAATAAGAAAAAACGTCATTGAACGTATGTTTTCCTAAAGGAATGCAGGACTTTATTGCATTCATGTTTTGAAATTAAGCTATGCTTAACACCTTTCCTTATATTATTTATAACGGTATTTAAATAAATATTGAATACGCACCGTGCATTTAATTTGAACATAATTTAATTTCCAGCTGCTTGGAAAAATATGCCACAGCGAAGAAAAGTCGATGTTGCGCGTTTAGATCTTTACTGTACGTGGGCGTAATGTAAAATATCTTTGTGCTACAAGCTTTAAGATCTTTGCTTATGTTCACTCCAAACAACATTCATATAGCGAACATTGAACATACACAATGGACACAGGAGGAGTGAACGTTTTTGTACACACGTGCAAGGCATTTCCAAATGTAACGCATCAAAGACACAAATATCAATGACGTCAATATCGATGACGTCACTATCACATCCTTCATTTCATCCTTTATTATATATTGTAAGGAAGCGGTGTTAACATAAGCCGTATAGCTTTTTTGCCAACCCCAAATCATTTTCATGAATAAAACTATGTTTAAACCACTGACAAAACTGATGTCCGATGTTCGGGTACTGTGAGTGAGTAAGTGAGCCGTTTAGTTTTACGCCGCACTCAGCATTATTCCAGCTATATGGCGGCGGTCTGTAAATAATCGAGTCTGGACCAGACAATCCAGTGATCAACAGCATGAGGATCGATCTGCGCAATTGGGAACCGATGACATATGTCAACCAAGTCAGCGATCCTGACCACCCGGTCCCGTTAGTCGCCTCTTACGACAAGCATGGGTTACTGAAGGCACATTCTAACCCAGATCTTCATGGGTCGATAAATAGAGAAACCAATTATACTGGAAAGAGTTTAATTATTTGTTTGTTGTTTTACGCCGCACTCAGCAGTATTCCAGCTATATGGTCTGTAAATAATCGAGTCTGGACCAGACAATCCAGTTATCAATAGCATGAGTATCGATCTATGTAATTGGATACTATGACATGTGTCAACCAAGTCAGCAAGTCTGACCACCCGATCCCGTTAGTCAAGCGTCGGTTACTGAAGGCCAGTTCTAACCCGGATTTATACTAGAAAGATTTTCCTGAAAGGTGTGAACGCGGGGGCAACAGAGCTGTTTAAATTAGAAATAAACAACAGGGTGCCGTTGTACAAAACAACCATAGCGCTAAGACTACCTTAAGTCAACGTTAAGGTATGGGAGTTACGGTCACCTTAGCGCTAAGATCGTTTTGTACAAGGGCACCCAGGACCCTTAAATAATAGAAATACCCATATTCCTAATAATAGTAGGTAAATGCGCTCAGATGCAAAGATTCGAACAAGAAAAGTTACCGTGCCTGACCAACATATCCATCCAGTCCTCGCTCGACATTCATCTTGCTCACATTGACCGACACTAAACCGACAACCCCATGGGAGGTACTGGTATATACCAAAATATGTAACATGTGTAGCCTTATGAGAATTAAGAATATGATGGTTTGTTGTTAAGAGCAGCATTCGGCAACATGCCACATATATACTATGATACAATACTTATAAACCATCTTACTGTAGCATAGCAGATTAAGTCATAATGGTTATCATAATACATATCTGAGGATCAGGTAATTCCGCAGGAGAAATCATCCAGTCATCAACTAATTTGCCGCATGACCCTGTCAATCACATATCAGGTGACATCACAACCGCAAAAGATAACACCATTTAATTTCGTGTTGCACGTGCTAAATGTGCCGATATCGCCCATCATGACTTGATGGATAATGGGATCACTTCAGACTAATATTTAGTCACAGATATAGTGTTATCTTATCTGTCACATGTACTAATCTAAAGGGAAAAAATGCAAGATAAAGAGGCGCCCAGTACAATACCTAATGTCAGGGTTGAACTTTTTACTATGAACATTTATCTTCTAGGAAACAGACCACTATGACTTTCGTTTTAGGAAACAGTGACGTCAAATCTCCCTAGTCCACGTCGTGTCCGAGTGGACCGATTATTCTGAAACGTCTCACACACCTGCCTCAAATGTAGATATCGCAGTTTACTATTGGGATCCGAATCCGAATCCTAAATATGATTACCTTGTCAGTCACATGGAAACGCTTGCATGCAGCCGAAAGATTTTTGTTTGTTTGTTGTTTAACGCCGCAATTGTCAACCTATATGATGGCGGCCCTTAAATAATCGACAATCCAATGATTGACATCCTTAGCATTGCAGTTGGGATACGATGACGTGTGTCAACCAAGTCAGAGAGCCTGACCACCCGATCCCGTTAGTCGCCTCTTACGACAAGCATGGGTTACTGAAGAAAGTAAGCCAGTATTCAGTTAACACGTACATAATGGTACGTTGCTATCTCCCTTCCTCATATTTTACATTTGATGCAACAAAATATACTTATTTGGAGGAAAGAGACTTTTTTTTATTGTTCCGAGTACGTTGAATACAAGCATATAGAGGAATATGTGTACAAAACAGCTTGTGGGCTCATAGAGATATAGTACATTAAATATCAATATCAGTAATATGTTTTGGTTACATAGTCATTCAGGATTAAATTCTGGGATGAGAGGAAACCATTTGGCTAAAAAACTTTCAACATTATTATTTCTTCTGGAAATGAATTTTTCAGTGGTGAATATGTCTTTCAATATCTTTAAGTAATTATCAACTTTTGGCAGATAAGATTATATCATTCAGCAGTGGGTTCTTACCTTAAAAAGCCAAACCAGATCAAAGTTTTTGTCAAATCAAGTGCTTGGATACGTTTCGAGGAAAGAGTCTTAGAAGAGATAAGTAAATTTATTTTTAAAATTTGTCGCTATAGCTATAGACTCAAATTAATTGTTTTAGCCATTGTCAGTCGGCGATGTATTGAGTGACAGGCAGTGGGAGCAGTGTAAATGTCGGGAGGGGGAGGAGTTGATCGGAGATGGGTCAGGGATACATGGAGTCCGGGAAACAAACGTAACTGAGTAATTTACTTCCTCAGCGACATACACACTATATCGGGTGTCAACCTGGGGTGGGACTGGGGTGGTTTACGAGGTGATAGCGGTCACTTAAATCCACCTAGTATAACCGTACGTTCATTGGTAACTCGTAAATCAATATGAACCCTGAGACTTTAATCTTTGTTAATATCGTTTCTAGTGTTTACTGTGGATAGGAAATATTTGCTTCTATAGCCACGCAACGGACGTTTAGATTTACGTTGTGCGGACTTCAGGGAAATCTTATTTACGAGCACAGGAATAGCTTCAAATGTCTGTGCATAGAATTGGAGCAAACGCATTTGGTAAATAAATGTTGTGCTGGCCGCTGTAATGACGTGTGTCCCACTTTTCGGTTTGAGTCCGGTTTCAAAAGATCACGCCGAGGGAGAGGGAGTGGCACGTTGTCGTAGAACTTTCGTTACTATCATCAGCTATTTTACTGTTATTGGTGATGTCAGGTGATGTACAATAACGACCAAATTGGAGGTGGTGGTGGTGGTAGTAGTAGTAGTAGTAGTAGTAGCAGTAGTAGTAGAATTAGTAGTAGTTAAAAGTAGGAGTAGAAGTTGTAAAGTGGTAGTAGTAAGAAGAGATAGAAGTAGTACTCGTTATATACTAGCCACATAAAGAAACTGTGCACACAGAAAATTCCTTCAGAATTGGAATACAACACAGAAAAGACGAAATGATGTAGACACTTTATATCGGGCCACAACAACATGTCAAAAGAACATGAACAATATCCGTAACGATGACGTCAGAAGTTCAAAATTGAGTAGGGGGTCAAACGACGAAATCACAAAGTCAATAACGGGTACCATCATGCGCGTGAAGCACAGCAGTGCATCGACGACGCATAGTGGCTACCAAATGAGCATTGAAGGCCTGGGGAATGGTTTGGGACGTGGTCACTACCGTCTGGAACCTGTGTCTGAGATTATTCACCCGAATCCATCTGTCCTCTCTTGCCATCGTTACTCGGGGACGCCCAAAACGTGGGTGGTCGGCGACGTCATTACTGTTTCCATAACAACTGACCAGTGCAGATATCGTGTTACGATGGCATTGGAAATGTGCTGCCACCTGTTGTTGGCTCATGCCTGCTCGAACCATTCCAATGGTTTCGTGACGTTGAGCAGATGTTCATTTTGGCATGATGTGCATGTGAATTCCAATGAGAATTTGTGAACGTTTGAATGACCAAAGATCCAGCTTTCGACAGTGACAGCAATTTCTGAGTTTCACATGTTGTGTGCAGCTGCACAGGCTGCACGTGCAGTAACACATTGCAAGTCCACTGGCCATCATCAATGACGTCACGTCGCCTGGCACCTGCATGAGCGTTTGATTGTCTCCAATACTTGCTATGTTCACACCTTTATTTATGTATAAAGACACGGTCTGTCTATCTTTATATTTTCTGTGTGCACAGTTTCTTTATGTGGCCAGTATATATAGTAGTATGGCAGCTATAGGGCTAGGTGGAAGCTAAAGGGCTGGGTGGAAGCGGAAAAACTAACACACTAACCCCGAACTGACACGCTGTGATGTGTAATACTGTTGACAGTGGCATAACATAACCCCAACTCCCTATATGAGTCGGCAGGAAGGATTGGAAGGGTTAATACCTTTGCTCGTTTGTTTAACTCAGCATATATCCCAGCCATCTGGCGTCAGTTGGTAGATAATCGACAATTGCGTTCATCTGCGTTGCCCAGTTACATCGACGGGGAGCAAGTCACTATCATCAACTTTCGGGCGAATGTTCGAATCAATCGAGTCATGAACAAAAACACGTTCATCATTGTTATTGCAATTTATTGCGTTGCTATCTTACATATACATATATTTTAATCTCAAACAATTACATACACAAAACCAAAATAGGAAATGTAGTGACGGTATCTTCTAACTGCAGTGGTATAACAACAGACCAACCTCACATCAATAAGGAATCGCAAAGACATGGTCATGAACAGGACATGTTGGCAGTGTAAGGGTACAAACAACCGCGGAGGGACACATGGGTGGGTAGGTAAATAGTCAACGTGTGTGATGACTTGACTTGGATCATGACCCGAAGACTGGTGCCACATATGTTGGACCATTCCGAATCTACCTCCAATGTCAATTTGAGTGGGTCTTGTCAAATAACATTTTGAATCTGCAGAAACCTGACCCGGCGTCGGCGACACAATATACATATTGGTTACCCCTAGCTGAATCAGTCGGAACCATGTCCAGAAGCCGTTATGTGTTCATCACTTTGTAGACGATCCATTCCCAATCTGAATATTTACAAAAGACAAAATGAGAAACAACAAGAGAAACTAGCAAATAATATACCTACATGTATTTAGTTGTCCCAAAACATCCTAGCGACAGACATCTAAATGGCACAAGAGGAACAACTGACTTCTGTATGAATTTTCAACCTGGCTGTTAGTTACAAGCTAAGAAACAATACCACAAAAGCAGACGTTTCATAAAGACGAAATAAGTCTCAGCGGATTAGTCATCGAGCGCATATCTGAAATCTTTCCTGATAACCTTGTCCTGGCAGTATGGTGCATGGAACTAGCGTTTAATTTGACACTTTGATCGGAAAGGCTTTAGGTAGATAGTACGGTGAAAATGGTAAAATGCAAAGCCAAAACCGTCAAACCAATGTGTATGCCAAGTCATGCCATTAAGAAACATGGGGACATAGCGGAGACGAAATTGATGGGCATCAAATTTGTAAACCGCCAGACAGAAACATTTCTGAGATAGTTGATTGTTAAAGTTGCTTTTTCTACCTTTGGTCACCGAGTCTAGAGCTTTGGGGTTTATGTCATCTGCTTCACGATGGTCCAGATGCTGATGCGTTTTTCAGTAGATTCTGGACTCTTGTTAAACTATGTCTCGGACAAAATACTGGGGAAAAGTAGATGGTGTTAAACGATTACTACTGCGCTGTACCGTTTTAGACTTGTAGTCATAATTAGAAAGGACAAAGACTAATATACACATGCCTTGGCTAAGTGACAGCTGATGCAACTGCTACATGTCATATTGTCCAAACAACGTGTATCTTTTTATGAAATATATTATAACGTACCTTCCTAATACATGAATGAATGAATGAATATGTGTGTATATAATCATTATTCGTATCTTAGAGTGCGTAGATAAGTACAAACGTAACTGACAGTATGGCTTGATACTTTGAATACATTAAGGAGCATGTACCAGCATGCATATCAAGTTTGATCACTGCATCAGCAACTCTTACGTCATTACATCCCCCCTGTCATCTGATCACACGCTACACAGTCCCCACTGCATGTATGCTGACAATGACTCCCGTACGCCCCGTCCTTACAGCCACGACTACAGCTACCGTTCACCTCACATACACCATCCAGACACCTCCCACAAGCCTCGTCACATCTCTCTCCGAACCATCCATCAGTACAGGCTGAACACCGTCCATGGCGGACACACACATTGTCTCTACAATGGAGACATTTCTTGTGGCAGTGTTTCCCATAGTACCCTGGAACACAGCCCTTCAAGCACGATCCATCACGGCTGTAACAGAAGGAAGACTTGCAGGAGGCACTACACGGGGTGTAACAGTGTGGCCCGTGCCACCCAGTCTCACATCCTTCCTGACAAACTGCAGTACTTCTATTACAGTGCTTGTGTCCATCTCTTCCTTTGTAGCACTTCTCGGGGCACGTGTTACTGCATTGGTGTCCATGGTAACCAGGTTGACACTTTTCACATACCCCAGTCTGTCTGTCACAACCAGTGGTCCAGCAATGTGGACATCTGTCTTCGCACTTCTGTCCATAGAAGCCTGCTTCACATCCATGTAGACAGTAGCCCGTGATGCTGCACCTTCCCATCAGACAGTTGTCACATGTCATGTTACAGAAGTTCCCTGCCCATCTTCCATCACACCCATCAAGACATTCTCCTGTGTGTATGTGACAGACTGATGCCTTGCAGTTGGGTGGACATCGTCCATCACAATGTGCCCCGGTCCATCCTCCACCACAAGATTCAGAACAAGCACCTGTATGTCGGTCACAGTAGACAGCGCCACCTACCGGACTGCTGGAACATCGTGGTGGACAGGGTGTGTCGCAGTGTCGTCCATAGAACCCTGGCCTACATCTGAAACATTCTCCAGTGGACCTGTCACATCCATATCCGTCACAACGTCCTTGGCATGTAGAGCTGCAGTTTGATCCGTGACACCCGGTGTTACATGACTGACATCTGAGACGACCATTTCCATGTCTACACCCACTTGTCTTACATGAGTCGTGACTAAGGATCTCTGAATAAAATATTTTTTTACGTTAAAAATGTAATAAATTAGAAGTGTCAGATAAAAATGTCAGGTATTGTATTTAAGAAACGACATGAATATCACAAATGTAACTTCCACAAATTTGAGTTTCGTTTCTTTTTTAGTCCAATAACCATGGCGAATATTATTTCATTGTATCATTATGTACGTGTATTTACCAAGAGAGTGTGTCAGCGCCAGCAGGGCATGGATCAGCACCACAAGCGACAGGAACTGTCCGCCGTTCATTGCTCCAGAGAGTAGTTGACTGATGACAACAGATGCAAGGATTAGAACATAACTGAATAAGCTAAAAGTTACTCTGTTTCTTAACAAGCAATAGTAATGCAGTAGCACGCGTGGTCTGTAAATAGAAGCTGTATCGATATCACGAGTAGCCTTGCTGACAATTCATTGATAATATATACCGGATCTTCATTGTGATACAGATATGAACAGAGATACTTTTACATGATACACATTTTCCTGTGTAGATCCAAAGCAAATGCATTTACACCAAATTCAAACATCGACCACATATTACTACTTTTTGTGTACAGTTTATAGAGCCATAGCCAACACTGTTAAGGTAGAGGGGCGGTGGGGTAGCCTAGTGGTTAAAGCGTCCGCACGTCACGCTGAAGACCAGGTTTCGATTCCCCACATGGCTAAAACGTGTGAAGCCCATTTCTGGTGTCCCCCGCCGTGATATTGCTGGAATATTGCTAAAAGCGGCGTAAAACCAAACTCACTCACTCACTTACTGTTAAGGTAGACATTATCAGTATATTATCACTGGCCTGCCTGTGTCGTGGAGGCGTTACAACATGCCACGTGTACATTGGCGGAGTAGTTTTAAGACGTTATATGTGCGATTGCAATTGCTTCCCATTATCATGTAGTGGGTTTGAACTTACTGCCATCCTTCATGGGGAACTTCTCAAGAACTATGGGTGCCTGTGCGCGTGCGTACCTGATTGTCTGTCTACATGTGTGTCTAAGTGTGTCTCTGTGTTGGCGGGGTAGGGTGAGTGAGTGAGTTTAGTTTTACGCCGCTTTTAGGAATATTCCAGCAATATCACGGCGGGACACCAGAAATGGGCTTCACACATTGTACCCATGTGGGGAATCGAACTCGGGTCTTCGGCGTGACAAGCGAACGCTTTAACCACTAGGCTACCCCACCGCCCGTTGGCGGGGGAGGGGTAGGGTTAGGGCTAGGAGTCCACCCATAAGCCTCCCTATAAATACACAGCTCTGTAAAATGTTTTTGATTGAATATAACAAAATGTGTAAACTGTCATAAAGAGAATAAATTAATAATGTGATTAAATGAATCTTACTGTAATGATAGTGATATATTTATTTGTTTCACTTGCTGGATGGGTAACAATACGTAAATATATCTCACCAGTAAAGAATAGTCCTCCCACCATAAAGCGCTCACGAATGAAGCTAGTGAATGCAAATGAGAAGCATATAGAAGACTTGTGAGATAGTGGGTGTGAAAAGATCGGACCAACGGGCAGACCTGTTGCACTGTTACGCTGTTCCGGTTCACAATGTTATAGGGGAACCACCTAATGGTGTGATATCTACAAATAGAGCTGATGTCCCGGTGAAGATGTAGAATGAAGCTGATAATCAACTTCAGATGATACAACAAAAACGGTTTCTAAATTATATTAGTACAAAATAATAAACTCTACAGAGGGTGTACAGGGCAACATAATGATTTGTTTGTGTGTTTTGTTTGTTTGTTGTTTAACACCACACTCAACAATATTCCCGTTATATGGTGGCGGTCTGTAAGTAATCGGGTCTGGACCAGACAATCCAGTGATCAACACCATGAGCATCGATCCACTCTACACAAACATGTCACCCAAGTCAGCGAGCCTGACCGTGAGATTCCGCTAGTCGCCTCTTACGACAAGCATGGTTTGACGATCAATTCTAACACGGATCTTTACGGGTGAGTCAGAATGAACATTTAGATGGAACAACAACGTGGAGACGATAGGGTGGATCTTACATATCTATCTTAGAAGAAATACAAGAAATGCATCACATACATACCATAAACAACACATGTACAACATATATACATGACATACACACCATATACAACACATGTACAACACATATACATCACATACACACCATATACAACACATGTACAACATATATACCACATATACCATATACACATACACACCATATACAACACATGTACAACATGTACACATATATACACACACACACCATATACAACACATGTACAACATATATACATGACATACACACCATATACAACACATGTACAACATATACATACATATACATCACACACACATATACAACACATATACATACATACACATGCCACATACACACCATGTACAACACATGTACAACATATATACATCACATACACACATATACATCACATACACATGTACAACATATGCACAACATATATACACACCATATACAACACATGCACAACATATATACAACATACACCATATACATCACATACACAACATATATACATATACTAACATACACAACACATAGCATATGCAAGTACATATATATCATCATACACACCATATACAACACATTTGCAAATAACATATATATACATCACATACACACCATATACAACACATGTACAACATATATACATCATACACACCATATACAACACATTTGCAACATATATACATCACATACACACCATATACAACACATGCACAACATATATACATCACATACACACCATATACAATACATCTGCAGTATATATACATCACATGTACACCATATACAATTTGCATTATGCATACACACATATACAACACATTTCTAACATATACATGTACATGTACCTGACACAACACGTGTAGAACATGAATGCACAATAGAAAGCGGTTATATGCGACATATGTTATATATGTTTACACTCTTCAGTGCATATTCTACTACCTAGTGGTTAAAGCGCTTCGTCAGCCGAAGACCGGGTTCGATTCCCATGGGTATTATGTTAAGCCCATTTCTGGTGTCCCCGCCGTGATATTGCTGGAATATTGTAAAAGCGACGTAAATAAACTCTAAGTCAGTCACGTCTACACCTGTGTTAGGTTGAGACTCATAGTTTGAACCCACCTGAGAAAGTGTAATCTCAAATCTAACAGACGTTACACCTGTAGAGAATATAGTACATAGACAACACATAAATCATGGTACAACAGATACATCTGCAACTGATACAGCAAAACAGATATTACTTACGCCATTGTTGTACCCCTCTGACAAATTACCACCACATACTTCATGAAGCATTACAGCATACGGCTACAACACAAAGAATTTACGTAATCCTGATTCTCAAATACATTAGTATTATAAGTGAGTTGTGTCCCCTTGGTGTTACCTGGAGAGAAAATACTAAAGTATCCAGAAATATGTAATTTGTCCAGAAATATGTAATGTGTCCAGAAAATGAACTCAAAGTATAATTTGTTTGTGTGTTTTTTACACCGCACGCAGCAATATTCCAAATATATGGCGGTGGTCTGCAAGTAATCGAATCTGTTCCAGTGATGAACATCATGAGCATCAATCTATTCTACACAATTGATATGCGATGACATCCATGCAATGACATGTGGTAACCAAGTCAGCGAGCGACCACCCGGTCCCGTTAGTCGCCTCTTACGACGAGTATTGGTTGTTAAGACCAATTCTAACCCCGATCTTCACGGGTAAGTACTAGTAGCTATGGAGGCGGGGTAGGTATAGTTTTTGTTGTTGTTCAAGCAGAGCATATGTCTCGTTCATGATTCGAGCATACTCCTTCAGCACGACGACTGTTGGAAGTGGCATAAAATCATTCCATCCCCCCTTTATCTCTCCTCACTGGAAGGGTTGTTATGGCTTTATTCGTTTAATGATGCAGTGGACAATATTCAAGCTATATATCGGCAGTCTGTAGATAATTGAGTCTGGACCAGACAACCCGGTGATTGGCATCATGATCATCGATCTACGCAATTGATGAAACGTGTCAATCAAGTCAGCGAGCCCTGACCACAAGATCAGTTGGTACTTACCACAAGCATGGGTTCTTGAATACCTGGAATCTTAACTGGTGTACTACTGCTGCTACTACTACTACTACCACCACCACCACTACTGCTATTGCTGCTACCACTACCACTACTACTACTACTGCTACTGCTACTACCGCCACCACCACTACTGCTACTTACTACTGCTACTGCTGCTACTGCTACCACTACTACTACTACTACTCATCTACCACTGCTGCTGTTACTACTACCACCAATTATCTACCACTTCTACTGCTACCTGCTACTGCTACTACTTATTACTACTCCTAAACCCTGGCACTACCACCACTACGCAACAGCTTACTACTACTACTACTACTACCACCGCCACCACTTACTACCATTACTACTACCACTGCTACTATTACTACCTCCACTCCTCCTCCTACTACTACTACTACTGCTACTACTACTACCACAACTGGCACTACTACTACTACTACTACTGCCGCTACTACTACTACCACTACACTGGCCACTACTACTACTACCAACAATAGCTATCCTACTACTACTACCACCACCACCACTACTACTGCTACCACTGCCATTACTACTACCACTGCTACTATTACTACTACCTCCCACTAATTACTACTACTACTACTGCAGCTACTTCTACTACCACTACTACTACTCCTACCACCACCGCTACTACTACTACTTCTATTATTACTCCTACTACTACTCTCCTACTACTACTTCTAGCACCACCACCGCCACTACTACTACTACTACTACTACTACTACTACTACTACTACCACTACTACCACTACTACAACCATCGATTCAATTTCAGGCAGATATTATCTGCCACGACGGACTATCTGAATAGTCCAAGGTTGATTCTTAGGTTAAACCAAATTAACCCTTCCATGCAAATTGTGTTTTCCAAGATAAGATGTTGAAGGTACTCATCGGCAGTATGTGTTTTATGCAATGTTTAAAATAGTTGCAAAATTGCAAATGAATTTCTTTTCCAAGAATATATCCATATATAACTATTACATGAGTGTTGATTAAGCACCTCTAAAATCATTTTTACAATCACGTAATCCCGCTTATTTATAGCGAATACTGAAAATACAACCACATGATAAAATCAGCCACTGGCACTGTTTATTGAGCTCTTC